CGAAGAATAGGCACAGTGGTGATTTTCAGCCTCTACTCGACCCCTCTTTCCTAAAGAACTGCTGATTGCTAATACTTGCAAGAAAATGTAAATTAAAGGAACAGGGGTGTGTACCCTAGGACTGACGTAGTCATATTCACCACCAAATGAGTGGATAAAACTATTTTGGAAGTGTTTATACGAGAGAGTCTAGATTGAATAATTTGTTCAAAACCTCAATTACTTCCAACTTGGGAAACTCTATGTTGATATATAATATAATGCATAAAGGCATCACAAACGCCATAGTTCACTTTCTATCATTCCTCTAGAAAGTTCTAGGAAATATGCAATTAGGTAGGGATATTTTGTGCAAGTGAATAGATTTTTCATGGTTCCACTCCTGAATCGAAGGACTTCAGAAAAATAAAAGAGGAGAGTTTGGGCATTGTTGCACCTGTTAGGGACAGGAGATCATGGTTTCATAAGGGAATAACCTCCTTTGAGATGTTGAAATAGTAACTTTGATCTCAGGGTCAGCAATACTTGGGAGCAAAATTAGGTAGGGAAGTAGCTATTCTTTAGATGTTCACTTGATATTCCAAGTAAATGAGCTTTCTTTTTAAGTAGGTGAAAAATTTCTCATCGCAACCTTGACCCTTAACTTCGTATACATTCGTAATTCCACCCAATTATCCTTTGGTTAGGATACTTCTAAGTGTAGTTCATAGGCCATACTGGCACTAAAGTTTGAGACTTCGTTGATGTTTACATAATTGTGCCATATAAAAACTTAGTTTTTCCCTGGTAAACCTTTCTAAGTTGGTAATTTATTGGTTAATTTATTGGTTCTCTTAGTTATCTTATGTTTATCTACTACCAAAACTATGAAATTCTATTAATGTAACGGAAGTCCTACTTCGTTCCAACTTTAGTATCGTTTGCAACATTTCATTTTGGATTCGCTATAGAAACTGAATAAAAGTTTCATCTTCCCTGTATACTAGTCTTTCATTGACAGTCGTCAGAATACTCCTTGAACTACAGTCAGGTTAGAATAACCAAAGTGTAAGTGTGCTTCATGTTCCAAATCTTACCCTTCAGGTGATCACAGGTCAATATTTCCCTACTCTAATACTGAAAGCATAGAGTACTAGAAGTTTTAACTTTTAGGATTTTGTGCTGAAGTCAGGTGTCATCGTTAGGGTTCACCTTCACTCAAACAGTGCATCTAGATCAATGATTATGAAGCTATTTAAGAACCTCATCCCCCCCCCTTTTACAAATAACTCTAGTTCATACCCAACTAGGATTCTTCACTTCATTAATATTCCTTTAATTTACAATTGAATAATTATATTAGGGTTGTATTTAATTTATATATATACATATATATATATATAAAAGAAATTCCAGTTTAAGTTCTAGATGAACTTCACTAAGACTAAGTTCACATTAAATGTGGTCTAAGTTTCCAGATTGAAACTCACTACGACTAAGTTCACATTAATGTGGTCTTAATCCCTTTAATATCTTTTTAATTTATATATATTATATGAATATATATGATATATATATATATATATATATAAAAGAAATTCCAATTTAAGTACTAGATGAACTTCGCTAAGACTAAGTTCACATTAAATGTGGTCTTAATTCAAATACCAAATGATTCTTACAATAAAACTTTAGCTCCTAACTTAATGTTTTGTATCTCATTAACTCGCATAATACTTCATACCTTCACGCATCCCTAGATTATTTCGCCTTTCTATTCACTTTTATTCTGTAATACCCTCAATTTGGTAGTTTTAGAAATTCTAGTTGCTGTGTGTAGGGGTGTGAGTCCAGCATCCCTACCCATGGCTCCGCACCATGGCAACCCTATGGACAAAGTAAGGCTATTGGAGACAAGAATAGCATGTTGGAATAGCATGTTGGGTGGCGTAATCCGAGAATATGAGAGGGGAGACCCGGCGTAATGCTCTCCGCCGCCCCAGGGTCGGGATGCGGGACCCGGCCCTAGTGAGCTAGGTGCGGGCATCAGGTCTAACGAGAGAGACTGATGTCTCCATAGGGAAGGAGCTCTATGGACACTATAGGGCCGAGGGCCTATAGCGCGCGTATCTCCTGCGCTAGAGGTTACGGTATAGGCCGGACTATGCCGCCCGGGATGCCCGAAGGCATTGAGCCCATATACGGTAGTGCGAGACCCTTGGATAGGCATTGCTAGATGAGGCCTACAGTCGGAATGGATGTTAAGACCCTTCGAATATGCATGGCTGGCCTTGACTATGAGCAAAGTCTAGGCGCCACACGCGTGCCGAAGGCTCCGAGATTCTGGCACCGTGACATTTGGTATCAGAGCCAAGAAGGCTAGTTGTTTCTATATATGGTTGGCTGTTGCTAAAGGCTTGTGCGCAAGTCATGTTGGCTGAGATGTACATCCGCAAGTCATGTTGGCTGAGATGTACATCCCGGAGTAAGGGTAATAGAGGCGTGCAAGTGATGCGGGCTATGGATGGCAGTATCCGATAGGTGGCATCATGTCACCCCGAGTAGTATGCTCCTTCGAGCGCAGTTGTAAGGGATGCTATCAAGCGGCATAATGGATACTGAAATGCAAGCTATCGTCGAATCTCAATGGGAATGCATAGCATGCCTAGAGAAAAGGGGCAGTATGCGCAGTTGAGGCAAAGATGCAATGACTTGAACCCGGCAGGGGGATGCATGTGCTTGGAACAGACTCGAGCAAGCTACTTAAGGCGCATGAGGCGCTGAGTCAGAAGCAGTGGGGGCAAAAAGTTCGCCCTAGATGCAGAAATGATTACTCCATGCTAGGGTTTTCTATGTGAGTCGGTTGTTGGAAATGTGATTGTTGTGGGGAGAGCTTACCAAAGAGTTGGGAGCTGCCCACATGTGCGCAGAACACCGAATAAGTCGGGTGTTGGTAATGTGATTGTTGTGTGGAGGAGCTTGCTGCTTTTATAGAAAAGAATTGAGGCGCTAGAGGAGAAAGCGGTGGATATACAGGCCATGCTTTCTGAATTGAATGTTCCTGAATGGCAAGAGGCCAAAGAGCGCATTGAGGCGCTAGAGGAGAAAGCGGTGGATATACAGGCCATGCTTTCTGAATTGAATGTTCCTGAATGGCAAGAGGCCAAAGAGCGCATTGAGGCGCTAGAGGAGAAAGCGGTGGATATGCAGGCCATGCTTTCTGAATTGAATCATTTTATTGAAACCCTGCGTCTCACCTGGGCCACTACGGGTGGTGAGGTAGGAGACGAGGGTCGAGGTCGTGTGCCGGCCACTACGGGTGGTGAGGCAGGAGATAAAGAAAAGATTAAGAACCTTGAGACCATGGTGCATACCTTGGTGAGCTTGCCAAATGAGTTGGAAGCTACTCGCAAGTGCTTGATTGAGATGTGTTTATGCTCGGCGGAAGGAATACCAGACTACAGCTGATATTTCAGGCCGTGAGCAATGTTGAGAAAGAGTTAAGCTCGGCGGAAGGAATATCAGTCTGCAGCTGATATTTCAAGCCGTGAGCAATGCGGAGAAGGAATTAAGCTCGGCAGAAGGAATCTCAGGGCGTAACTGATATTTCAGGCCGTGGGCTTAGATACTTGTGCTTTTGTTTGTGCTTGCAGGACTATTTAGTCAAGAGTAACATGCGAAACACTTCCCCATGAGACCATATGAGCAAAAGTGAGACGACCAAAAGAAGTCAGGTGTTGATCATGCGTGGTAAGCGGAGAAGGCTTGAGGCAAAGCCAAGAGGGCTTGAGGTGTCACAATCAAACAATGTTTTCTTATATTTTCATGGAGTGCTATAGGCCTTAGCAAGTAAGCTTGCATAAAGGGGGTAATAGCCATGAAAACAAAATTAATTTTATAAATAGCTTGTGCACCAATACCGCATGAGGCTACCAAAGCATAAGGTGAGATAAAGCTGTGGCAAGCGAGGTGACAAGAGAAAAGAGCAAAATGCGAACATCAAAATGGGAAACGAATCGGATGCACTATGGTTCCTTGTTTTAATAGGCATAATGCATAGAAAGACAGCTACAAATCAGCAATGACTCTAAAAGAGAAAGTTGTAGTCCATCAAAATTAGATCGAAGGCAAATTGATAAGATGGTCAAATAATGGCATATCCTGAGGGACAAGCTCAAATAAAAGGGAATCGAGATGAGTGCTGTGTTGTATGCAAAGGGGTAAGAAAACAATATGTGTAAGTTGTATCACTCTTTACCTTGATGTGTTATTTCATTTGTGCTTAATGTTGCTAGTATAATGAAATATGAATATACATTAAGAAGAGGAATCACCAATTTTATCACATTTTCTTTCTATGAAGAGGAATCACCAATTTTATCACATTTTCTTTCTATCTTGTGGCTACTTTGGGTGTTGTTGGTTGTGTTTTGCGAGGTACATATAATAATGCCATGAAGTTGCATGACGCATATAACCACTCCAAGAGACAACCAGGCAAAAGAGAAATGTACCAGATAC